ATTATAGATTTGTCGGCTTGACCATTTTCTAGAGTTGTTCTTCATAGCTAATGTGTAATTAATGATACAGAATCCAATATTTTTTAAAGCAGGATGTTTGATGGGATATGTGCTGTAACTCAGCAGAATATCACACCTCTCTCTCTCTCTCTCTCTCTCTCTCTCTCACACACACACACACACACACACCCCTGCACCTTATGCATGGTTGTATGAGAAGAAATCCCAACACATGACCTCCTGCCCATGAGTAGGGGGCTACATGTGACCAGGAAACTTGATTGTGTGGGTGTCCCAACCACATGGATTCCCTATACACATACTGGAACCTGTGCACTGGGCAAGTCCTTCTCACACGTGGTTGGGTGTGTATGCATGGAGATGCTTAAAGTACAGCCCCGTTCCTCTCTACATGCACTTTCACCCTTCATTACTTTCAGAAGACTGTTACAGATTCACAGTGTGCACCCTTCAAAGATCAACCGGCTGCACAGAAGCACTAAATCAAATTGCTCTTAGCATAGAGTCAGCTAATTTGACAACAAAGACCAGATATGCTGAGTAAGGATTCTTCCTTCCTGCTTAATAAGTTCCTTCACCCCTTGCTACCTGGACAGGATTGATACTGATCCATAGTTGCTTTTCTGTCACGCTTGAAACTTGGAAGTTAGGACAAGGCAGCCAATGGTTATGAGAGCAGGGGGGGCAGCAGAAAGCCAGGGGCCTACAATAAATTTGAGTTCACGTACTTCCATAATGGGATCCTCAAAGGAGCATGTTTACCTCTGGAGACTCTATCTAGCACTCTGCTTCTACACACATATTTTTCCGGGGGCGGGGGATCACCTAACAAAGTATTTGTCTGCATATCTTTACTAACACACACACTTTTGCACACAATTTCCCCTTATATAGATATTTTGCAAATGTTGGTGCCCTGCAATTGCAAAATTTTGAGAAGCGTGAATTTCGAAGGATAACTGCATTTCAATTCACACATTGGTCTGGGAAGTGATAATTAGGTGGGATCGCAATAAAATGTGAGCCAAACTAATTATGCTACCATCACCCAAATCCCTATTTGAAATTCGAAAAATCCAGGGAGAGACCTGGAGACAGTGGATTTTAGAAGTATCCCTAAGAGTGGCTACTGGAAGCAGTAGAGACATGCATGATAGATGATGCCCCCATATGAAGTCAGTGGGGAAAGTTAATTTAGTGCTGGACTGGTGTCTTTTAAGACTTAATATTATTAAACAGATTTGAGTTCTGGGACATTAATGCACTAGCTTCAGCTGAAACACAGTCCATTTCACCTCCACCCTGCTCCAGGTTTTCATCTCTAAGCCTGTTCTACAAACTGTGAATGTTACTTCTCTATTCCTTGGTGGGCAAATCAAGAACAAGACTCAGCTTTGTGTTCCCCGCCATCGGAAACTGTCTCTGACCTAAGCTATTTTGGTCTTCAACCAAATTCAATATTTTCCCATTTGCCAGGACCATTTCTTCAAGTTGTCATCATTCTTTTTTTATTTATTATATTTTATTTTAAAAGGAGTAAGCACTTCAAACACTGCAAGTCAAATAAAAGCAACTAATTCAGCAAGCTGCAGAAACAGACAGGAGTGGGCAGGGGGTGGGAGAGATTGTCAATCCTATTCCTTTGGACTCAGCAGAAGTTTTCAGCATATGCAAACGACATCTGCCACTCTAAAATTATGTGAGTGAGGAGAGGAGAGCTCAGAGCTTCTCTCTTGCACCTCTGACATTATTGGAAGGACTTGAGTTTTTTTCTCTCCTTCTAGACAGATGAGGCCTTACATTACCTCATAACTACAACATTAACATTAAAAAAAAAGATGAAGGTAGAAGGAACAAGTGGGAATATGGAAATAACTTCTGAACAAACATAATGTAAATGCTTGCAGAATCACAGAGAGACAGGAAAAGTAGAGAGCAAAAACAATCAGAGGGCCGAGACTTAACTAATATTCCAAGTTGTGGATTTCCTTCCCAAAAGAAATTGAATTAGGCCCATCCTACACATTTTAGGCTTTTAAAAATGTAAAAAAATCATTAATTTCTCTGGCCTTTAACGATGTTCAATTATATTAAGTAAAGGTAAAGGGACCCCTGACCATTAGGTCCAGTCGTGGCCGACTCTGGGGTTGCGGCGCTCATCTCGCTTTATTGGCCAAGGGAACCAGCGTACAGCTTCCGGGTCATGTGGCCAGCATGACTAAGCCACTTCTGGTGAACCAGAGCAGCGTACGGAAATGCCGTTTACCTTCCCGCCGCAGCGATACCTATTTATCTACTTGTACTTTGACGTGCTTTCGAACTGCTAGGTTGGCAGGAGCAGGGACCGAGCAACGGGAGCTCACCCCATCATGGGGATTCGAACCGCCGACCTGCCGATCGGCAAGTCCTAGGCTCTGTGGTTTAACCCACAGCACCAACTGGTGTTTTAATTGCTCTGGTAGGTCCCTATGCTCTTTTCATTTCTGTTTAAAATGCTTTAACTTGTTTTAGTGATGTTCTACTCAGAGGCTGTGTTCGCATGTCATGTTAAACCATAGTTAAACATGGGCTGTGGTTTAATACAAGTGGGCAGGGTTCCTGCTTCATTCCTTCTCTTCTTCTAGCTATGCTGTGCTGGAAGCAACTAACCACAAGCCTTGCCTTGTTATATTGTCCAAACCTGGGTTTGGCTACAATTCATGGGGTGTTGTTGTTTTTTGGAGAGAAATGAATCACCTGCTGAAGTTTAGAAAACAGGACAAGCTGGGGCTTTTGGTTTATTGCACCCAGCACCAGGAGCAGGGAAGCAGATACTTTTGAACAGCAACAACAGTAAAAGCATCAAACCTAAGATGCTATGAAGCTACATGACAATCTCCTGTTCTTCACTTCTATTAATATGAGCATCAAGATCACACGGAGTCAACAGATATGGTCAGCAGGAAACAGAATGAAACCATGGACAGCGGATAAATCCTTACCTCAAAAACATTCTGAGCAGAGGAGGACATAACATTATCCCCTCATTGTGCTTGTAATAAAAGGTTCTCTTTGCTACAACTGTTAGACTTTAGATCAGGGATGGGGAACCAGTGGCTCTCTAGATGGGGTGGGACTCCAGCTCCCATCAGCACCAGTCAGCATTGGCCAATGGTCAGGGATAATGGGAGCTGTAGACCAGCAACAATTGGAGAGCCACAGGTTCACCATCCTTGCTTTAGACCTACATGAGCATTCAAAATGATAGAAACAGTCCAAAGTGATAGAATTCATCCCTTGACTGAATATTCAAGATTCGAATTATTGCATCTATTATAGCTGACACCAGCACTTCTGATGCCAATATTCAAAGGGAGAAAGATGAGTTGAAGGCATTCAAAGTAACCTTGCCTGAGTTTAACTCTGGCCTCTAGGAAGGAACATTGCAGAAAAGACCATTTTGGCATGACACAAGCATCAGAGGAAGGAAAAAAAACCACACAAACAGGAGCACGTCCTCATTGCTCTTAAGAAAACAAAGAGGAGAACATTCATCTTTAATTTCTTTTCCCCATCCAAAAATATTTGACGGGGAATTATTTGTGCATTCCACACATTCATGGATGAGATAGTGAGTTGGCTCTCTGGAGGCTCATAAAAACTTCTGCAAGCTATTAACATCAACTTATCAAAGGACCAGCTGTACTCTGTACAGAGAGTCATGCTACTCTCTGTACTGGGTAAGAAATGGCTTTCCTTCCCCATTACTTTCAGATGGTTTTAGTCTCTTTAAAAATACAACAACACAGAGAGAGAAGAGATGTGAGTGAGGTTAGGCTCACAAGAGCATATGGGTTTATTTGGCATAGCAACCCGGTCAAGTTGGGACAAAGGATTAAACTCTGATTGAATGTTGTCAGGGCCATGCACGACCAAAAATCCCTGTCAAGCACACAAGGTCAGCCTGAGCCACCTCCAATGTAAACAAAGACAAGTTACAGAAAGGCTTCCTCAGATTAGTTACCAGGCAATAAATTATATTTTCTCTCTCTCTCTCTCTCTCTCTCTCTCACACACACACACACACACACACACACACGCACACACACACACACAAATACACACACAGAGACAACTGCATTCCAAACATCACAGGCATTTAGCCACTAAGCTTCTAATGCCCAACTCACAAAACAGCAATCCTTAAAACAAGTTTTGAGTACTGCTTATAAACCATAGCCAAAACCGAACTCTCCTTATTTATGGGGTATTCCAAGTGTGCGTGCACAGGTAAATATATTCATAAAAACAAAGAGCAATCACTAGACTAAACTGCACCCCTGTTTCTACATCTATTTACATAGCAATGCTGCAGTATATTTGCCACATAAGCATCCCTGTTTACATAGAATAGGGGGAGGGAAGAAGATGAAGCATGTTCCTTAACTTGATTTAGCCTCACGATTCCACACTGTGATAGAACTGAAGTTCCAGTAAATCTTTGCAATGGTCAGGTCAGGAGTCAAGCTGTAATCTTGCCTGCATGGCTCACTTGGAGAAGAATCTTCAGGGACAATCCAAATGTGCAAAACAGCTGATGCACATCACATAGATAGAGATCTATGTTTAATACCCATCTGGGCATAGCCATCCTGACTAGCAGCCTGAATCAATGAATGCATGTTGGCACTTCCTTTTTCAGTGCTTAACTATATGTTATACTCATTGTGTGGCTTGTAGCCACGTTGTGGGATTTTAAAACATTAATCCTAGGTGAAAAAATATATATCAAGAGGACAGTACACAGCGAAGGGCCATGAGTACAGCTAAAGTACCTTGGTATCTGTTTCAATTAGTGATGTTGTGGTGGGGAAGCTCCCGGTGGAGCTTTCTGTCTTCCGATTCTGTCTGATTCTGCTTTATAAACATTAAAATAATCAAGAGCCCACTCTAAACATAACATAGCATCTGCAATGGTTTGCTCCAAATGCTTGATTTACCTGGAATCTTGTCCTCTCTGCTGCATAAACCTGGTAGTGAAGCATGGCCTGCAGAACCTTCTTGTGACCTCCAGGCACTAAGCAAACCGCCCCGAGGATCTCCAGCACAGCAATCTTGGTTTTGATGTTCTCAGTCCGTAAACTCTGAGAGATTATATTGATGCTTTCTGGATGGGCCAGGACGTGCGCCCGTCCCTGGGAGTTGTTCATCAGAGCCTTGATACACCCTATAACGGATGTGTGTATGCGGCTCTCGGACGTCTCATAGTCCATGCTCTTCAGGAAGTTCAGCAAGCAGGTCAGGCCATCCAACTCAATAAATCTCGTCACAAACCTGAACGGAGGCAAGAAGAGGGAAATAATATCAAGGCCCTGTGTGTAGGAATAGAGAACTGAACAACTAATTTATCATGTTACTCTGAAAAAAACCACACATATAAAAGTGTAACCTGAGGATCCTCGCAACCTTTTCATCAGCAGTATAAAGAATGAAATAAAATATTTGCACATTAGGGCCAGGTCACATCAGCATCTGATCAAATAGTAAAATTGCCTCTTTACTGCACCATGTTAGGGTCTTGATAGCATCTGAGCAAAGTCCTGTATCTGGACATTCCCCTGCATGCAGCGGGGGGGGGGGGGGGGGGGGGGGGGCTACTTGTGGAAAAACTCAGAGAAGAATAATTAAGCTAGAATATTTTCCTTCCCATCTAATTTCTATGAACATTGTTTTATCTGGGAAAGCATTCATTCATGCATTTTCCCATCTCCAGTTTGAGAAGATGTGCAGTCCAGGAAGAATATTACCACATGCTGTTTGCATAGCCTAATTCTAGGCTTGCTGCAGAGGATTCCAAGATGTATGTGTTATTCATTACTACAAACATTGCAATCAAGCAAAATGTCCATGGTTAGGTTTGAATGGCTTAAGAACTACTTTGTGCTTGGCAACAAGTGAGGACAAACTCCTTACGAATTGAGAGGTGGACGTTTTTTGATAAGCAACAGAGAATCTCTAGATATCCACATGTGGTTGGAGTACAATTCCCATCAACCCCAACCATGCTGGCTACATCCAAGAACACCTGGAAAGCCACAGGTTCCCAATCCCTGCTTTATAGCTTTAGCCGTGTAATGAATAAAACAAATACTTCAATTCTGAGAGAGAGAGAGAGAGAGAGAGAGAGAGAGAGAGAGATGATTATAACTCATTGATAAGTGCCTTTGAAATGGAAATCAGCAGTATGAAGCCATTCAAGCCAAGGATAGAGCCGACACATTTTCAGTGCTTCTGGCACAGTGGTTGCATCTTGTATAGGGTTGCACTGCATCTAATTCACATATTTGTGTCCGACTCTAGGGTTGTGCGCTCATCTCACTTAAGAGGCCGGGGGCCAGCGCTGTCCGAAGACACTTCCGGGTCACGTGGCCAGTGTGACGAAGCTGCTCTGGCGAGCCAGAGCCGCACACGGAAATGCCGTTTACCTTCCCGCTATAAAGCGGCACCTATTTATCTACTTGCACCCAGGGGTACTTTCGAACTGCTAGGTGGGCAGGAGCTGGGACCGAAAGACGGGAGCTCACCCCGCCGCGGGGATTCGAACCGCCGACCATACGATCGGCAAGTCCTAGGCACTGAGGTTTTACCCACAGCGCCACCCGCGTCCCTTATATTTTGGACTATAACTCCCGTAATTCCTGACCTCTGGGCCGTGTTGGCTGGAGGATGAGAGGAGTTTAGTCATTCAAAATATCTGGATGACTGCAGAAGGCTAGTGTAAAGCAAAGCCAATACATCTGCCTGACACTCCAGTTTTGCAGAAAAGAATGGCAGACCAAGTTGATGGATTATGTTGAAATGGCTAAAATGACCGGAAGAATCAGAAATCAAGAATACCGAAATTTAAATAAGGAATAGGGGGAAATTATAATTTATCCTAAAAAACCCATTGCAAACAGTTAAAATCGTTAGTAGGACAGGAATAATACTTGTAGTTTAATGGTGAAGTTTGGACACAATGGAGAGGTAAAAGATTTGGATTATTATAAAAGATGCAGAAGGAAATGATTAACAATAGGACCCACAAAGGGGAGGAGGGAAGTCCAGGAAATTCTTTGGAATCTTGTTTCGATGTTGTATGTTAGATATGTGACTGTAAAATTTTAATCTGAAAAACCAAATAAATAAATTTATTTTTAAAAAGACACTCCAGTTTTGCTCTGCCACCTGGTCCACTGCATAGTAGGCTTAAGCCTAGCTCTCACATACTGTATATTGCTATAGGATTGGTGGTATAAAAGGGTTTGGTGGTTATACCTCTTCAGAGTGTAGGTGGGACTTCCATAACTGAATGTTCCTCAATAATAGAAACAATAAACTCCACACATAAAAAACTAGAAATCCAGAAAAAGGGGTTCTAGTCCTACCTTCTCCCTAATATCCTGGCTTTCTACATGCACAGAACATGGAACTGTTTTGTATGAAGGAGTATTCAGTTAGAAGAGACCCCACCTAGAAAGCAGGGTTTACTAGTTAATCTGCTCCTTAAAGCTGCACTAGGGTGAATTGTTTTAAATCTGACATGTTCTGGGGAAAAGACAGGCCACCACTTCCCTGTACACACTGCAAAACTAGCTGGCGGAAGTGGTACATAAAGCCTGCCACGGCCTTCATATGAAAAGTAGCACTGCTAGTAAAGGATGAGGCTGTGTGGAAGGCAGGATATTCCCGCCCTACCCGCAGGCAAAGCAAAGTTTCCCAAGCTAGCTGAAGCAAAGATCCTTTACATGAGAAGGCAAGAACACCACTAACAAATCCTGGATCTCTGCCCTTCCTGAATTTGGCAACAGAATAGGCTTAATCAACCAGATAGAGCAGAGGTTATCAGAAGTGTGACAAGGCAAAACTCGGCCAAAATAAAGGATGCACTCCTCTGTCCTTAAAAATAAAAAGAGGGTGGAAATATTTCTTGGCAACAGGTGGGGAAACTCGCTTTCTTGACACCTTTCCATTTTCTTTACGAAAGCTCCACTGCAATCTCTCAAGGTCCTGCCTGTTCCCAAGCAGAGCTTTTAAAAATTTTCTTTTTCACTTTACTCTGCCTCTCCAAGATCTATTGATGACTAACAGGAGCAACAGTACAGCTTTCCCATATGCTTCTAGCCTGAAATTTTTTTATAACCCCCGTTGTTTATGGCGGCAACTCACAGGGAAAATTTCACTTCCTTCCAATCGTTTCCTTCATTTTATTGTGGGTTTGTCCCTAAGCAATGTGGTAATTGGGCCAATCTGTTACTGTGCCTTAAAGCTGAAGCACACATACAGTAGTGTCTTATGTTGTATGCTAGGTTTTTGTCCTAATTGAGGGATGCATTCAGCTGCTGCTCTCAAAAGTTGATTCTATTATGACACTTACATCCCAAAGGGCCTATTCACCGTCCAGAGAGAAATCTTAGTACAGAATGGATCTATGATTCTCAGTATAAAGAAAAAGTAACAAACTGAACCAGGCTGTACCATGTACCATGAACATAGCATCTCTTTAACTGCCAGGTCTGCTTCTTAAAAAGAATAAAGGGCTTCAGTAGGTGGGGAAGGAACATGCCCATCAAATAAATATGATGCAGCCTGGTCCATTTATTCCCTTGTCACTAAACCTCAGCCTGTATGAAATACTAAACTCCACAGGGTTCCCATCACCCCCCACAATTTCTCCAGAGCTTTGAACCTCAACATGTCCACTGATGCACACATCCCATGCTCTTTCCAGTCATCTTAACTTTTGCTCCCACAATCCCAAAAGATCTTGGAAGCAGAATAGATTCTGCAGATGTGCTTGATTTGCTGCAATTATTCCAAGCACACAATTCAGATTTCCTCAGTACAAAGGTTGGCCTTCTTTGGCAGAAGATGCACAATCCAAATTCTACTTAAGTCAGCAGGCCATATAAACGCTACCCAAAGTTGGCAATTATTATTGCAAGGATTTAAATGAACATGATGTGCAAAGCTTAGCCACCAATGAAACAGGGATGATTAGAAAATGAGCATTGGGGTCAGGGATAGGAAACCTGTGACCTTTCAGATGGCTCAGCTTCCATCACTCCTGACCAATAGCCATTGCTGTCTGGGGCTGATGACAATGTCTGGAAGATCCCAAGTCCCCCCCTCCGATCTAGACACTGCTGTTGGTACCCCAGATTCCATCAGCTGGGTAACTTTGCAGCTTCTAAGTATACAGTGCTACTATCAAGGAAGCACTGAAGGGACTCCAAACAGCAAGCTTTCTTCTTCAATTCCAAGCCTAGTATTTTGATGGCCTCTGTACGAAGCAGCTCACGAATGGGATCTGATGCAGACACGGGTCCCTCCACTGCAGCCTTCCCATTAAAGAGGAAACTGGCTCAGTCATCAGTCACTGGCACACAGCCCACTTGGCAACTTACACATTGAGTCACTGGAAATTAGTTGAGACGTGGGGACTTAACTCAAAATTTAGCTTGGCTATAGCTACGAAGGAGAAGCGGGGGGAGAAGTACTTCAGGTTGTAGCCAGCGATTTAAGAGCAAAGACTTTATGTGACAGTTTGTGGGTGCTGGTGCTGACACTCATTAGGGCTGTTATAAACAGAGGAAATAAATGCCTGCTGTCGGGAGTAGCCAGCCAATATAATGCTGGGGGGGGGGAGAGCTGTACTTGAGTGGAGAATTCCCATACCCCACTCCCACAGATTTCACAAAGAGGAGCTTGTCTCTAAAAAAAATAAGACTTTCCGGGAGTGATGGAATAGCATGGTGAATGGAGGCTGTGGAGGTGAGATGACCCCATGCTTACTATAACAACCAAGCGGGAACATTTTTCTTCTCTTTTGAGCATGATGCGAAAAGCAGCAGCTGACTAATGGCCATTAGGCGCCATTGGTTACAAATGAAAAATCTTATTAATATTAAATAATAACAAGCAACAAAGGTAGTGCTGTAGCATCTTGAAGGTCCCAAATTCAATCCCCACCATCTTCAGGCAGGGCTGGAATCGTCTCCTGTTTGATACCCTGGAGAGCTGCAGCCAATCAGGGGAGAGAATACTGAGCTAGATAGACCAATGTCTTCTTTCTATGCTCCCTCCCTGCGAGAAGTGAGGTTACAGGGAACCAGGCAGAGGGCCTTCTCAGCAATGGCGCCCGCCCTGTGGAACGCCGTCCCACCAGATGTCAAGGAAATAAGCAACTATCTTACTTTTAAAAGATATTTGAAGGCAGCCCTGTTTAGGGAAGTTTTTAATGTTTGACGTTTTATTATGCTTTTAATTTTTTGTTGGGAGCTGCCCAGAGTGGCTGGGGAAACCTAGTCAGATGGGCAGGGTATAAGTAAGTTGTTATTGTTGTTGTTGTTGTTGTTGTTGTTGTTGTTGTTGTTGTTGTTGTTGTTGTTGTTGTTGTTGTTATCCTGCAATGTAGATTCTGCCTGTCCACTTTTTTTTACAACTGTTTTGCTTACATAAATAATATTATGCTCCTTCCATCTCAGCAAACATGGTTATACCCCTAATTACCATTTTCCCCTTTATTATACCAGACAATTGGGATAGCTTCCAGGTTGATGCTAAGCTGATTTTAACAGCACTTCATTAGTTACTGCAGCCTAACAAGATTGCAAACAGATTGTATTATATTTTACGCCCATTAATTTAGTAAACCTCTGGATTAGCCTCTTCCTTTATCACTTTACAATCCTATCAAATACGAATGAAGTCTGCACTTGATCAGGGAAGACAGGGAGCCCACCTGTTAATGGTCAAAAAAGGGAGCCTGTTCACCATTTAGAATAACTAATAGGCATGAGTAACATGAGTTCATTCATTTCATTAGGTCTATCATCGTTTTATGAGTATAAACACCAAAGTGTTTTGACACAGTCATGTGCATTGTTTTATGCATCTGTACCTGTGCTGGTGTTTTTTGGAAAAATGGAATTTATCTGTGTATAATATTATACTGGAATAATGTATATAATATGTGATAATTGCTTGCATTTTTTAGTGGAACTCTTTTCCGTTGAGATCAAGGAGTAAGACAGGAACTGGAAAAAATCCTTCCGCGTGATAAGCTCAACATCAAGATTTTCAGAAAATTCCATGCACAAATGGACAGGTGAGGAAAGAGTTGCAATATGATGTAGGACCCAAGTGGATAAAGTTAATAGGGTTGAGTGCAGAGGCAGGAAACACTTCTTCTGCTGTGCATCACATTGTCCTGGGGGCAATCTGTCAGGGGCTGGGGGGAGTGCAGCTGGATCCAGCAATGGGCACAGCCAGAACCAAATGTGCATGGGGCACTTCTTTTTTCTGCCATGCCCTTTCTCTCTCTCTTTTTCCTAAAGGTAAAGGTAAAAGTACCCCTGCCCGTACGGGCCAGTCTTGACAGACTCTGAGGTTGTGCACCCATCTCACTCAAGAGGCCGGGGGCCAGCGCTGTCCGCAGACACTTCCGGGTCACGTGGCCAGCGTGACAAAGCTGCATCTGGCGAGCCAGCGCAGCACACGGAACGCCATTTACCTTCCCGCCAGTAAGCGGTCCCTATTTATCTACTTGCACCCAGGGGTGCTTTTGAACTGCTAGGTTGGCAGGCGCTGGGACCGAGCAGCGGGAGCGCACCCCGCCGCGGGGATTCGAACCGCCGACCTTTTGATCGGCAAGCCCTAGGCGCTGAGGCTTTTACCCACAGCGCCACCCGCGTCCCTCTCTTTTTCCTACCTTTCCCCTGATTTTGTCCCTCCTTGCTACCCACTTGAAACTAGACAGGTGGACACACCCACATGCAGACCTTGGGCCACAAATTGCACATCCGATGGTTCAGAGGGAAGGTTGACATGGAAGATCCAGCAGGTTCGAAAAGGAAGAAGCTTATGATGACAACATGTGGTTTAAGAATCACTGCCGTATTTTAGATCCAGAGGAAAGTTGGCAGGTTTGAATGCAGCCGTGCAGATTCCCTGAGCTTCCCCCATCCCTTCAACAGTTCCATACTGGTTAACCTCAGAGAGAAAAGAACTTTTCTCCACAGTCATGACAACTACACTCCCTCTGTGATTTTAGAGAACCAAATTAAGAGAACAGTCAAAACACTATACTTCTCCATGTTAGCTGATCTCAGCTCATGGCCCAAGAAGTGTGTGGTGTGGGGAGAGAGGATGGATAATTACCTCATGGGCTGAGTCCTCAGAGCTGTCTTCAAGTCTTCAACTATTTTATTCCTCATTTCCGTTTCTTCTTCATCAAATGCATACAAAGTCTGCATCTGTTTGGACGAAGCAAAGAAACAGTGACAAATCCAGCACTGGACGAAAGTTCAGAGAAATCTGAGGCTACTGAGCAACTCAGGATTCATCCACAAGAGCTTTTGCCAAACTAAACTGGAGATGCTGCTGGGAAACTCACCAAGAAAGCAAAGTCTTCTCCAGCAACAAAGCTGGGTAAAAATGAGCTTCTGCCTAAGGACCAAAGAAGTCTGTGTCTTTAAGTGCAAAGTTGTTGCTTTTAACCAAATGGACACTGTGGGGTGGCTGATATGGATCAGAATTCCAGTGTGGGAATTTTAATCTCCTTCTACCTCACCACCCAAGGTCCTGATTCAGTTTGTGCCTCCAGCATAAGCAATTTAGTTAAGGGGGAAACTCTCATGCACTTTACTTGGGAGCTTTGACCCCTTTGCAAATACCAGTATGGGGACCCCCAACACAGATTAGGACCACAGTAGGGAAAATCCCCTAACCTCCTATAACTAGGATCCCAAACTGGATCGGGCACCTAGCTTGCAATGAGGTAGGCAAAAATCACAGGGCCAGAGCCAATTTGCCAAGTGGGAAAATTACTGCCCGGCTCAGAATAGGGCAGCCAATGAAGTCTATAGCAAGGGCATGCATGCACAAACAGTCAATATCTGAGGGAAGGAGATCTGGCGACGAATTGGGTGAGGAGGCCTGGGCAGACCTCAATTTATTCCCCAAGCGTGGACCCAAGTGTTGCCCACAAGCACAGTTGGCTCCGCCTCTGGGGAGGGCCTGAACAGTAGCCTGCCTGCGATTGGCCAATTTGGAGTCCTGGCTAGTGTGCGACTCCACAGGCAAAGCCATGCTGGCTCGGCCTTTCACCCCGGCACCAATGCTAAGAGCTGGATTGTGAAGAAGACAGGGCCAGGCAGCATCACCCCCTGACCATTTAAAGGGTAAGCTGACTTTTTAAAACAATAACAAGAAGAAGAACCATGTGCTTAGGAGCATCATTTGGTTTGGCCCTAACTAAAGCTGCAATCCTAAGAGTGGTTACTGTATTAGGTTAAAAGAAAATCACAAAGGAATGGAAGCCCTGTTGAATTCAATGCAACTCATTTCTGAGTAAATCTGCTTAGCACATCTTGTTTTTCACTTTGGGTCCATTTTGAATGAATATACTGTGATGAAAGCTAAGGCGAGCTTGAAGAAACAGCCATGCTCCGTCCTTCCAAGGCACTTATAATAACATCTTACAAACAGCGAAGTCTTTCATGCAGTGTTCAGCACAAATCAGATAAAATCTCACTTTCCTTGGAGAGCCTCTTTGCCCCACTCCCCGCTTCTCCACAAGCCCTTCTGTGTCACTTTGTGTTTGCAATTCATGCCATGCCAACACATGTCAAATCTTCAGGGTGGTCAGTTGATGAAGCAATGTGACTCTTATACACTCTGCAGCTGGCACAGGGAACTGGATTTAACTCCAGGGAAATACATACACTGATTCACGCTAAAGTCAAATTCGCTCAGTTAAACGGAGCAAGCCTCCTCTTCATCTAAGGGAGAGCAACTGATAGAAAACAAGGAAATAATGTTTGTGCCGGCATCCCTTCCACAAAGCCAGAAACAAAACAAAACTGAAGCGCTCTAGCATGTCATGTGACCTGTGGCCCTCCAGCTTCCAACATCCTTGTCCAACAGCCATGGTGTCTGGGGCTGATGGGAGTTGGAATCCAGCAAGATCTGTGGGCCACATGTTCCCTATTCCTGTCCTAGAGAATCATGCTTATTTGGGGGGAAGATGCAGTCTCAATGACAGGTTCCTCAGAATGTGATCTGGAGCTAAACTTGTATTCCTTTCTGCAGTGGCTTATCAGCGCCCTCTCTTTTTTCTACAGCACCGGGGAAGGGGGTTGACCCACCAGCGCCCACTTTTGAAACACTCATATACTGAATTTTGTTATCCCTATGATTTAGGGTGCCATGAGTATACAACTAGAGCTTGGTTGAAATTGCAAGACTCCTGAATCCAAAACGAAACAGAGCCAAATAATCCCAGCATTCTGGGATAATTATAGACAATTAGAAGCTGCTGCCAGCAAAAAGTTCTACTCACACCAGTCTTGGCCTCCACAATTGTTTCACTTCATTACCATGAAGTCATTTCATTGTGTGGTCAAATGACTGTTCTGTCATGACAGTCGTGTGACCACACAACGAAATGACTTCATGGTAATTTATATGTAAATAACTAAAAAAGAATAAAACCCTCACATAGTGACTTTGTCACCTTCGCTTTCTAGGGGTGGTGCTTACCTGACACCACTTCGATGGAGATTGCTAAAATGACCCTATCAAAGATGGAATGTGGTAGGTAGGTGGTCCACACAGCCTCTGCAGCTAGCACTAGCGGGCAGGAGCAGCACCATCGTCATAACCAATAATATTTCTATACGGCTTAATATGCAAAATCCCTAAGCAATCTACATAAAACACAGTAAGATTGGAAAAGGGAGATGTATATACGACATTTGAAACCCACAATGGAAAGAAATGCATCGTAAAAACAGAGAAGCCATCTCTAAAACATGCAGTTAAATATCAATGATCTTACGAGTCAGGGAATGCCTGCTTAAAAAGATGGGTCTTTAGGAGGTGTCTCAACCCTGTCCAGACAGGGGAGGTAGGCGTATAAGTCAAAGCTGATGGAAGACACTCCACATCACTGAGCCCACTTCAGCCTCAAAGGACAGCGAGGGACCCAGAAGTACCCCCAAGATACATATCTGCCCCATCAGATGGAGTGTAACCCCATCTACATCTCAGAGCACATTGCAGACTCATCACCATCTAGACCTGCTGTGTCCTCATTCCTTTTAATCTGCCTGCACCTTAATTTGAACTGCAATTCTATACACCCTCACCTGAGAGTAAATCTCACTGAACTCAATGAGACTTGCTTCTGAGCAGGCACACATAGGATTACACTGTTCTGTCTCCCCACCCCCACCCCCATTCCCTATCATTAATAGTGGGGCAGAGAGAAGCAAACGAAAATGACCCGAGTAGATTTAGCGTCCATCTCTGAGATGTGCTGAAAGACGTATTTTCTTTTCTGCTCTATAAAGCTCTTGTGCTGCAAGCAAATCATTTCCAAACCATGAAAAATAAATGTGTAACAGCTGTATTGATGACCTCTGACACACACACACCCTCTTTTAAATGTCATGTGTTCAGGATAGCTGTGGCTCTAAAGAGCTACTTCTGAAGCTATCGTTCATTTGCAAACCATATATATATATATGAGTGCCAATATTGACAAGCTTCCAAAAGCAACATGGGGGTGTAAAGGTAACTTTTCTGTTCCACAGGAAAGCAGGGAATGGGTTTATTTGGGTTGCTAAGCTTAGACGATTGAAGACAGAAAGCAGAATGTCTAAGCGTTCACATGCTCATGTTGTTGGGAGAGAGGGAAAGAAATGAGGGAAGCAAAGGGCAACCATTTCCATATAAGCACCCATTGGCGCCAAGATCCATTCCAGTGGATTACCATGTGGATGGCACATGTTGGCTGGGCCCACTTCAACCATGGCTCCATGTTGCAGTGAGAGGGCAAGGAGGGAATAATACCAGAACAGCCAGAAGGGCTATAAGCTGGGTGGTAGAGCATGTGTGCTGCATGCAAAAGGTCCTAAATTCAGTCTCCAGCATCTTCAGGTAGGACTGGAAGAGACTCCTGCATTAAATGCTGGAGAGTCCCTGCCAATCAGTGGAGGAAGTACTGAACAAAATGAACCAATGCTCTGACTTTGTGTAAGGCAGCTGCCTACATTCCAATCAAATATATATATTTTAGAAGGAGGCCTAATATTGTTTTTCCATTGTCTATCCACTCATTGGAAAGAACACTGCAAGGTGGAAATAAGTTTACTTCTTAGTAAACTACTGGGTAGAATATTGCCTGCACACTTTTCCTTCTTATCTCCACCAGTGCTATTTTTCTAGAAAAAGAGGTGCCAGAACTCACTATGAATGCCTCCCTTGTTCTCTTATAATGGCAATGGCGCCCACCTGAGAAGTGCCAGAACTGAGTTTCAGTGAGTTCCTGCTGGAAAAAGTCCTGATTTCCACAAGTGGTTTAATGTTTATGATGGTTCAGGGTGGTATTGACTCAGAGTAGACCTACTGAAATGAATGGACCTAACTTAGCCATATTGTAATGGATCTACTCTAATAGTTAGTTGAATGTTACCATAATTGTAAATTAAACACATAAATTAATTAAAGAAAATAGAGACATACTCTACTGTTCACAAAGGCTGAAAATTCAGGAAAGGGGTCTAGAATATCTCTGAGAAGTCAGACCCTACCACAATATGGGAGTGGGGGAAACTGATATGACAGTGCCGCTAACCCCCTATGTCAGAATGGTCAAGGCAACAATATTCCCAGAGAAAGCAACTTTTCGACAGTATGCCACAAGGTACTTACTGCAGCCATGGAGTTGATGCGGTCAATGTAATAGTCTGGCCAACTTGTAGCAAGCTTATTAGGGTCTTCTTGCTCCTGAAAAGAGAAGATCAAAATTATATGAGATATATAAAAGATTGCCACAATCATCATTATCATCCAAGCTATTTTCTTTCTGCACCATACTTAATTTTACACACCTCTGTCATGTCATTGCTAAACTTACTTATCCCAACCATTGTACTTTTCCCTCACAGGGCGAGTTGCTCCAACTTGTTTAAAATGTTGGTTGCACTTTGCTGAACTTTTCAGAGCTATACAGCATCCCTTTCAAGCTGTGGTAACCAAAACTGTACACAATGTTCTCAACCACAGATTTGTGTAATGGCATTATGATACTGGCAATTTTATTTTCAATCCCTTTCCTAAAGATTTCTAACATGGATTTTGTCTTTTTCAGAGCTGCCACACAATGGGTTGTCATTTTCACTGAGGTAACCATCATGACTTCATCTGAGATATGTTTCCTGATCTTCATCACTGCCAGCAGCTCAAACCCTATACAGTGGTACCTCGGGTTACAGACGCTTCAGGTTACAGACTCCGCTTTCCCAGAAATAGTACCTCGGGTTAAGAACTTTGCTTCAGGATGAGAACAGAAATCGTGCGGCAGGAGGCCCCATTAGCTAAAGTAGTACCTCAGGTTAAGAACAGTTTCAGGTTAAGAACAGACCTCCAGAACGAATTAAGTTCTTAACCAGAGGTACCACTGTAAGAGCATATGTTAGGATTTTTTACCCAAAATTTGCATCACTTTACACTTGTTTACACTGAATTGCATTTGCCGTTTTAATGTTAACAAACCATGATCTCCAAGTCAGACGTTATGCTGAGGTAGATACTGTAGTTTGCTTCTCCCTTATGAATATTATTTGCAACTTGTCTCCAGGGTTTTACTTGTGTTCAAGTGAACCTGAGTAGAAGCACCCTGCACTCCTCCCCCATTTAACACAGGAAGGTTGGTGCTGATGCCTACTGAGATGCAAGGCTTGTAAGCATGTTCCTGATCCTGTCCCCACTTTTAAACATTGCAAGTTCAAGCAAATGGCTAAACACAGCTCTTCCAATTTCCTCGTTTCCACTAGCAAGTAACAATAAGGTACCACAGTGCCATGGGTAAATGGCAGCCCTTTCTTTGCTTAAAGGGAGGAGAGGGTTAGGTGAGGAGTTTGTGTCTGCTTCATGGAGCTGCAATATTTCTAGTCGCTGGGGTGCTTTCCCCCATGTGATGCCTCCCTACAGAGGCAAACTTATGTACTGGGGCTCACGTTAGGAAGAATAACTACAGAAAACTGTTGTTCGTGCATATCAGGCATATCTATCTTCAGTTCATAGCAAAAACACACAATACAAAGTTGATAACCAGTGCATTACTTTTAGATAATACTGTAATCGTATCATGACCCGAATACAAGAACAGACACAGAGAGCTAATCTATGCCTACGTAAATAAAGGTCATTCCAAAAAAGGCTATGCTTATATGGAATCTCATTTATAAATGATCAAGGTAGAGAAAGCTTTTAAATTTATCCTCTTTTCTTTTCCACCAATTTTCATGTATTAACTATCCATCGTATTGTGAGTCTAGTCTAAGGATTTGCCACTATTTTTTTATCCCTGTTTTCAGGGGAGGGGGAGCTAGGTTGGTCTTGTGTCCTACTTTACAGTCCTCTACTTGGAAGGGCTGTCAAAGGACAGTTCTCTATTTTAGAGGCAAAGTATGATTTAAGGATAAGGAACAACACAAAGGGGGAGCAGGAACATTGAAGTTGCCCATCCAAAGTTAGCAGTGCCTTCTGTCTTCCCCACTATGGTGTAATGTGTTGAGTCCTAGAGATAATTACTATTTTTAAATTTGCATCTATACATATCAAATGCAATCAAATCTATACATATCAAATGCAAGTTTTATGCAGATCTGTGTCTTCCTTTTTCCTCTGAGAAACATGAGAATTATTGTTGTTGTTGTTGTTAAAAGTTGCTTTTCTAAATATCAGTCCTGAATACAAATTGGATGTAGATATTTCACACACCCATTTCCCTGTATCCACTTCCAGACTTTAGTTTTTACTGAATACAAGGAGCTGAAATAATCACAAGGGTGATTTTGTTCTAAGTGTCAAAACATTTTACTACTTCAACCTTTATTCTAGTAAGCTTACGAAGTGTGTGAGAAATGGGTTAAGACAATATTGACCAGCTACTATTCAAATAAGCTCTTCTATCTACAGCAAATCCAAAGCCATTCTTGCAGACACAAGAGTTTGGGATGTATTTGAGATTCAATTATTCATACTGTCTGATAATGGCTCATCTCACCTCTCCTCTTAGCCAGCTGCTGGGTGAACATTGATAAGAATCAGAATTTGTCTGGAGAGGCCCACAAATCACTGCTCTCTGGGGGAATGGCACTGTTTCCATTTAAACACAAAACTGAGTATTTTAAATCCAGTTTTCAGAACCTGGATCAGCAAGGAAACTCTTGTGTCAGATGACTGCAATACGACTTAGTATGAGTGGTGGGGAGGAGAGCTTTCGTGCACCAGGAGATGCAGAAGGAACACATTGGCCCTACTCTCTAAAACTCAGCAACTTTCGGGGTGTCCTGGTCTTTACTTTTTAAAATATGGCAACCCTAGAATATATGGAAACAATTACCCAACTACAGGAGCAGGGCATGAATGGAATATATTATAGAAAAGCCTACTTTAAACTCCCACTGAATAGTGTAAATATTAAATTTAAAAACAGATGGCAATCTGGAGTATTTCATAAGCAGCTGTCTCATTCTTCCCAATGCAACAACACGATAATCAATATGAGAACCATTTTCCAATTCCAGATGACTGCAATGCAGTCAACATATATTTTAAGTACAGAAGCTAACTGTCTTCAATAGGCCCCCTTCCAAAATGGAACCTGGAACCTGGGAGATTCAACAGTCTTCAGTGAGTGTTTAGAAGCAGGCAATGGGGTTTTTTGTATTTGTGATGGTACTCACTGGCATGGAGTACTATCACCTCTTTTTTGTTGCACATGGCAAACATGTTGTGGTGGCACCCACAGAACTTTTATCAAGATATGAGTACCAGCATCCCATTTTTATTTTTACAAAAATAAAACAGAACTGGAAACAAGAAACCAAACAAAAAGAAGTCAGTCTATTCAATGGGTATTTATGGATTCTCCGTTAAGTCCATCTAAACACCAGGAAGAACTTTCTGGCAGTAAGAGCTGTTTGACAATGGTAGACTCTCCTTCCTTGGAGGTTTTTAAGCAGAGGTTGGATGGCCACCTGTCATGGATGCTAACTGGTCTAGTTAGATTAGACCAGACCAGACCATGCTTTTTCTTATTATTTGGGGGAGGGAGGCAGATGACGGATTTGAGGCTAGTGTTTGTTTGAAAACCAGATTTCTTTAGGCTGAATTCAACAACGAAAACAACTTTTAATCAGCGGCTGCACTACTTGGCCCAGTTCTGCAAGGTCTGATTTAGTTTCTCTCTCCCCACCCCCCTCAAATCTATGAAATATGGAACATTCTTCAAACTAAGGGATGCTCGCCTCATTGGGCTGTGATCAATTATACTTCTACTGGCTGGCGTTCTCTGATTAATGTGCAAAATATGTACAGCCTCTTCCCCCTAAGCTATAGAAGCTCTGGAGCCAAGTGAGGATTCCTAGGTAAGATCCTCCCTCTATTGTGTGGGCAGGTAATCCCTCCCCTACCTGGCCTGGTCTCCTTGGCAACGCTTCCCCCAGGTGGGATTGGACAACTGACTGAGGTAGGCGGAGACCTCCAGGTATCCCACCTGAGGGAAGGCAAAGCCAAGCCTATGCTGTTGGGGCGCTCCAGATCTAGGGGCTGCACGCGCCCGCGCAAAGGGCGCCCCCCGTTTTAAGTGGGGAGCGGTCATTGTTGATAGAAGGGAGAATCAGGCCTCTATAATGTGGTCAACCTTTTCTGGCTCACTTTTCCATATGTATATATTTGAACAGGAAGGAGAAGGAGGCTTGAATAAACTGCTTTTTAGCTAACCAGATTGTGCCAGAACGCAAGAGTTTTCATATGTGCATTTAATAGCATAGATAGAAAAGCCTGAATCAAACACTATGCGCAATCTTGTGACTTGAAGTAGAGATTGAATTGCTCAAAGTAAGCCGGAGCTGCAAAACTGCAGCCGCTCGAAGCAGTGATTTAATCTTTCAAAACTCAAAACATGTCTGTGATGCTCAATTGTGCATTTTTTAATATTAGCATAATAGCTCATCTCCCTATTACTGTGGTTACAAATTTGGTACCCCTCCCCCCTGCCCCAATAAGTGAGTATATACTAAGGTCAGAGCACACATTACAGCCACAACAGAAAGGCTATCAAGGCCAGCATTAACACAGTCAAGTGTTAACTCCTCTGCACTATGACTTATCAAACTGAGAGTCTCAGCAGATCAGAAGAGCCTGATGGATCAGACTCATGGTCCATCTAGTCCTGTTCTCACAGTAGCCAACCAGATGTCTGTGGGAAACCCACAAGCAGAACCTGAGCACGAGAGCACTCTTCTCTGTGGTTTCCAGCAACTGGAATTCAGAAGCATAACTGTCTTCTGGGTGTGGAAGCAGAGCATAGCCATCACGGCAAATAGAAACTGATAGCCTTATCTTCCATCCAAGTCTCCATGCCCCTCACAGTAGTAAATGGAAACACAGAGAATCAGGATTAGAGACTCACAGTGCAATAGTGAAGATCCACATGAGAAGTGGGTTTTATTAGAGTCAAACATCTATTGTCACAGGGTGGCTATGGGCCCCATCCCTATCAGGTGCCAAAAAGTGAGGTGACAATGAGCCTATCTCAACTGAGCACCAGCCTCAGAATTATATAATTCTATTAGTATTTCTATCCTGCCCACCTAGCAGTTCGAAAGCACCCCTAAGTGCAAGTAGATAAATAGGGACCGCTTTATAGCGGGAAGGTAAACGGCGTTTCCGTGTGCTGCGCTGGTGCAGGTTCGCCAGAGCAGCTTCATCACGCT